GCTTCTCTTTGCTGAGAATTTGGACCATGGCTTACAGCTTAATTTGCTGCCTAGAATGAACAGAGCCACTGCTCTCAAGAATGTTGTGAGCTGGTGAGCTTGATTCTAGTTGTGCTTAATTTTTTACATCAGTTATGTGTTCAGAGCTATTTTGGGGAGCCTTAGCTTTATAGTTAATTTGTGAGGGGAAGCTTCTGAGGGTAGCTAATTTGATCCCTTGAAGCAAAGGCTTCCAGGAGGGGCGCTTTCAACAGCTGCATAGTTTTGACCTTATTTTGGTGGCGTCTGTTACTATGGCAGCTATTCAGATGCAGATAGGAAGAAAGTGAAGGGAGGGAAAAGTGGGGTTAAAAGGTAAATTTGGCTGGAAAAAAAATGACAAAGTAAATTATTTTTCTCCAGGCATTCATTTCTCACACAAGATTTTGAGTGGTAGGAACTGGACGTGGTAAGCATTTTGCCAGTATTTGGCCAAAAATACCATTGATGGGAAGAAAAATAAGACTTTGTGCCAGAATCGCGCCTTGCAGATATTTCTGTGCTTTCAGCTTCAGGCTAAGGGAACAGCTTGTGGGTACTGCCAGAGTTGTGTTGCCTTCCAAATTCATTGCAGTGTGAAATCACGTTCCAACTGGCTTTACCACTGCTATCCTGAGCTCTGTAGAGATGGTTTGACCCCCATCCACAGAGATTTGTGAGGCTAAAGTTTTGCTGTCAGTGTATATAGTGTTTGGGACAGGACTGTTTAAAAGTAAAGTCCTCTAGACCCCTTAGGCCAAAGTCTCCCCTGGTGAATTGTGACTGATTTCAACAGCGTTACGCTAGTGAAGAATTGACATAATAGACGTGAACATTAAGTGTTCATTTGGGTGTGTGTCCTTTTAAGCCAATACATGTCCTGGGGCATCCAAGTATTAGAAGTTGGGGGCTGTGGGATGCGTAGCTTAGAGGTTTATTACTAACAATGTGTATACAAAAAAGGATACTAGTTGCAAAGTCTTATTTGAAGTCCTCTCCTCATCGGCTAATTGTGATATGAGAAAAGCAGAGTGATTTATGGTGAAAAAGGAGGAGCTGACTCCCATGAGCTATTAATTATAATGGATTCTTTTTAGTGCAAACTGAAGTTGTAATAAAGAGGGAAGAAAAGTACAAAGTAGAAAAAGCTCAATCAAGATGGAGCATTGCCTGCTGGGACATGCTGTCTCCACAGTTGGCATCTTCGTGTTAGAGATGTGGGTAGTTTCAGGGGCCACATTTTAGAACATGAGCTGCATTTTGGCTACTCAGATTGAAAGGCTGAAGTAAGTGTGTTGTAGTGCATTAATTCAGGTTCTTAGGCTTGTTGGCTTAATCTCTGCTTATGTTTATATATTTCAAAGCGCGGGGGCAATTTGACCAGTCCCTCTTGTCCTGGATTCCATTAAGACGGCATTGTAAAATGGCTATGTTTGATTTTCTACTTCAGTGGAGCAGCGTGACTTCATTGGAGTGGATGACACAGGAAAGCGGTTACTCTTCATGGCTAATGAAGCTGACTTGGATGAAGAACTTGTCATTAAGAGATCCCTGCTTCAGAAGTAAGCCCTCTGGGTACTTTTAATGCACATTTAGCTTGGAGAGGGGAAAGCATTGGGAATTGGACTGATAGAGAGAGATGAACTGAGTTAAGGAGAGGAGCAGGAAAGGAACTTTTCTTGATGCGTGATAGCTGACTCCCACAAATGGCAGTGAAAGCAGGGGTCAGGAAGAATCATAGAATACTAGAACTGGAAGGGACCTCGAGAGGTCATTGGCTCCAGTTCCCTGCCCTCGTGGCAGGGTCAAGTACCATCTAGATCATTGGTGACAGGTGTCCATCCAACCTGCTCTTAAATATCTCCAGTGATGGAGATTCCACAACCTCCCTTGGCAATTTAATGTAGGATTTAACCACCCTGACAATTAGGAAGTTTTTCCTAATGTCCAACCTAAACCTTCCTTGCTCCAACTTTAGCCCGTTGCTTCTTGTTCTATCCTCAGAGGCCAAGGAGAACAATTTTTCTCACTCCTTGTAACACCCTTTTAGATCCTTGAAAACTGCTGTCTTGTCCCCTCTCTGTCTTTTCTTAACTAAACAAGCCCAGTTCTGTCAGTCTTCCTTCATAGCTCATGTTTTCTAGACTGTTTATCATTTTTGTTGCTTTTCTCTGGACCTTCTCCAATTTCTTCACATCTTTCTTGAAATGTGGTGCTCAGAGCTGGACACAATACTCCATGGCTGTGTCTACACTGGCATGAATTTCCGGAAATGCTTAAAACGGAATACTATTCCGTTTTCAGTTTTTCCGGAAAAAGAGCGTCTACCTTGGCAGGCTGCTTTTCCGGAAAAGCCCTTTTTCCGGAAAAGCGTCTGTGGCCAATGTAGATGTGCTTTTCCGGAAAAGAGCCCCGATCGCCATTTTTGCGATCGGGGCTTTTTTCCGGAAAAGACTACTGGGCTGTCTACACTGGCCCTTTTCCGGAACAGTGTTCCGGAATAAGGACTTATGCCCGAGTGGGAGCAGAATAGTTTTTCCGGAAAAGCGGCTGATTTTGTACAGTAGAGCATCGTTGCTTTTCCGGAAATTCAAGGGCCAGTGTAGACAGCTCGCAGCTTATTCTGGAAAAGCGGCTGATTTTCCAGAATAAGTGGGCCAGTATAGACACAGCCCAACTGAGGCCTAATCAGCATAGAGCAGAGCGGAACTAAGTGACTGGGCAACAAAATGTCAAATGAAATTTAATGTTGATAAATGTAAAGTAATGCACATTGGAAAAAATAATCCCAACTAAACATACAGTATTATGGAGGCTAATTTAGCTACAACTACTCGAGAAAAATCTTGGAGTTATTGTGGATAGTTCTCTGAAAACATCCACTGAGTGGGCAGTGGCAGTCAAAAAAACAAATGTCAGAAATCACTAAAAAAGGGATAGAGAATAAGACCGAGACTAGCTTATTGCCTCTATATAAAACTATGGTACACCCACATCTGGAATACCGCGTACACATGTGGTCTCAAAAAAGATATCTTGGCATTGGAAAAGGTTCAGAAAAGGGCAGCAAAAATGATTAGGGGTTTGGAATGGGTCCCACAAGGAAAGAGATTAAAAAGACTTATACTTTTCCTCTTAGAAAAGAGGAGACTAATGGGGGATATGATGGAGGTCTATAAAATCATGACTGGTATGGAAAAAGTGAATTAGGAAAAGTTATTTACTTATTCCCACAGTATAAGAACTAGGAGTCACCAAATGAAAGTAATAGGCAGCAGGTTTAGAACAAACTAAAGGAAGTTTTTCTTCACTCAGCGCACAATCAACCTGTGGAACTCCTTGCCAGAGGATGTGGCGAAGGCTAGGACTTTAACAGGGTTCAAAAAAGAGCTAGATAGATTCATGAAGGTTAGGTCTGCCAATGCTTATTAGCCAGGATGGGTAGGAATGGTGTCCCTATCCTCTGTTTGTCTGGAAATGGATGATAGGAGAGGGATCACATGGGGATTACCTGTTGTGTCCCCTTCCCCTGGGGCAACTGGTGTTGGCCACTGTCGGCAGACAGGATCCTGGGCTAGATGGGCCTTTGGTCTGACTCATTATGGCTGATCTTATGTTCTTGGAAGAATGACTTCTTGTATCTTGCTCACAACACTCCTGTTAATGCATCCCAGAATCACGTTTGCTTTTTTTGTGTGTATTTGTATGCAACTGTGTCACACTTTTTACTTTTATTTAGCTTGTGGTCCACTATGACTCCTAAATCCCTTTCTGCAGCACTTCTTCCTAGGCAATTGCGTCCCATTCTGTATGTGTGACACGGATTGTTCCATGCTTATTAAACTTCATCCTATTTGCCTCAGAGCATTTCTCTAGTTTATCCAGATCATTTTGAATTATGATCCTATGCTCCAAAGCACTTGCAACCCCTCCCAGGTTGGTATCATCTGCAAACGTAATAAGTGTCCTCTCTATGCCATCATCTAAATCATTGATGAAGGTATTGAACAGAACCAGTCCCAAAACAGACCCCTGCGGAACCTCACTTGTTATGCCCGTCCAGCAGGATTGTGAACTGTTAATAACTACTTTCTGAGAACAGTTATCCAGCCAGTTATGCACCCGCTTTATAGTAGCCCCGTTGAGGTTGTATTTCCTTAGTTTATTGAGAAGATCATGCAAGACTGTATCAAATGTCTTACTAAAGTCTAGGTATACCACATCCACTGCTTCTCCCTTATCCACAAGGCTTGTTATCCTATCAAAAGAAGCTATCAGATTGGTTTGACACGATTTGTTCTTAAGGAACCAGCCAGCATGGATTTGTAATCACCTTATCATCCCTGGTACAGAAGCTAAACTGACTGGTCTGTAGTTTCCTGGATTGTTATTTCCCTTTTTATAGATGGGCACTAGATTTCCCCTCCCCAGTCTTCTGGAATCTCTTCTGTCTTCCATGACTTTTCAAAGATGATACCTAAAGGCTCAGATACCTCCTCTATCAGCTCCTTGAGTATTCTAGGAACATTTCATCAGGTCTTGGTGACTTGCAGACATCTAACTTTTCTAAGTAATTTTGAACTTGTTCTTTTTAAAAAAATGTAACTACTAAGCCTACCCAATTCCACTAGCATTTACTATGTTAGGCATCCCATCACCACTGGGCTTACAAAAACCGAAACAAAGAAGGTAAGCATCTCTGCCATTTCCAAGTTTCCTGTTTTTGTTCCCCCCTCTTCATTGAGTAATGGGCCAGCCCTGTCCTTGGTCTTCCTCTTGCTTCTAATATATTTGTAGAATTTCTTGTTACTGTTTACATGTCTCTAGCTAGATTGAGCTCATTTTGTGCCTTTGCCTTTTTAATCTTGCCCCTGCATTCTTGCATTGTTTGCTTATAACCATCCTTTGTAATTTGACATAGTTTTCACTTTTTATACAAATGCTTTTTGATTTTTATATCATGTAAGATCTCCGGGTTAAGCCAAGGTGGTCTCCTGCCATACTTTTTCTGTGCAATGGAATAGTTTGTTAAAGGCCCAAAAGCAACGTCCCTTTGAAAAACTGCCAACTCTCTTCAGTTTTTCTTCTTAATCTTGGTCACATGGGACCTAACTTACCAGCTCTCTGAGTTTGCTAAAATCTGCCTTCCTGAAATCCATTGTCTCTCTTTTTCTGTTCTCCCTTCTTCCATTCCTTAGAATCATGAACTCTGTGATTTCATGATCACTTTCACCCAAGCTGCCTTCCACTTTCAAATTTTCAACCAGTTCCTCCCTATTTATTAAAATCAAATCTAGAACAGCTTCCCCCAGTAGCTTTCTCAACCTTCTGAAATAAAACATTTTCTCCAATTCAGTCCAAGAAATTATTGGATAATCTGTATCCTGATGTGTTAATTTCCCAACATATGTCTGGATAGTTGAAGTCCCCCATCACCACCGAATCATGCACTTCGGATGATTTTGTTAGTTGTTTTAAAAAAAAAAAAAGTCTCATCCACCTCTGCTGCCTGGGTAGGTGATCTGTAGTAGACCCCTAGCATGACATCACCTTTTTATTTATTTATTTACCATTTTTAACCTAACCCAGAGACTCTCAATCACTTTGCTGTTTTGTACTTACAGCTGGCTGGTGTCCTTGTTTAGTAAAATAATAAGAGCAGGGAATGAGAAAGGGACAAATGTGTTCTTTAAGAAAAACCAATGTGGCTAAATTTAGATGCAACTTAAATTAAATAGTTGATATTTGTGAGAGATCCACCGATGTAAATGAAAAAATTGTCTAATATCCAAGGCGGCCACAGAATTATTGCAGCTGGCTCTCGATTATCGTGCATACTATTAGAATTGTGTTCCGGAACTGCGATTATTTGTGATCCAACACTAGTAGTTCACTAATAGGGTAGTAAAGAATATTGCAACTGTTATTGAAGGCTTTTCTAGGTGTTTTTGTCATTGCATTTACAGGTGGCTTTGAGATGACAGCTTAGCAGTTGCGGCAACATATGTGACTTTAGTTGACCTATGATTGATTTTACAGATGTATCTCACCAGTGGATTTTTCACTCCTGCTAGCTCACTTAATTTTAACTTCTAGCATGAGAATTATTCAGTATTCATCTTGCAGACCTCAGGGACAGCCGTTGAAGCCCATGCCTTCAGCAGATTTTCACAAGTGCAGCTGATTGGAACTTAATAGTAATACTGATGATGTGCAAGCTGGGATGGACTCTGCCTATCTCTCTGTCTTGCCTGTGTTGTGCAGGCTGCAAAAAAGAGTGAAAACTTACTTTTGTTACTCTGGTCAGCCCGTGTGACTCTGCACGTGTGCAGGGAGACGATCTGTTAAGAAAAGACTTTTTAGACATATTTTGAAGAAACCCATGTTTTAAACTTCACAACACTCCCTTAGGGTCGTTGGGAGCGAATGTAAAATGTGCTCTTTGGAAGGCACAAGTGGCCAACACCTTGGTCCCACGCCCCACTCTGTAGGGGGTACTTCCTGCCACATGGCGTTCTGGAGCACCATGCTGGAGCTAAGGTTCCATACTGACTTGGAGGGG